TATTTATTTTTGGGACAGAGAGAGACAGAGCATGAACGGGCGAGGGGCAGAGAGAGAGGGAGACACAGAATTGGAAACAGGCTCCAGGCTCTGAGCCATCAGCCCAGAGCCCGACGCGGGGCTCGAACTCACGGACTGCGAGATCGTGACCTGGCTGAAGTCGGACGCTTAACTGACTGTGCCACCCAGGCGCCCCATGTTATTTCTAAAGATTTTTATGCTATCCCCCATTTTCTTTCAAAATACATTGGTAACACAAATGGAGATCAAAAAGTGAAAGAACTATTGAGTGCATGTGTGATTTTCCCCTAGATGTGTCTTCTCAGGTAGTGTCCAATTTCCCAATAGCAAGCAGACTTGTTATTTTTGGAAAGATTCCTTCTACTTATCGTAAAATTTTCTTTTTGTTAATCTCACATTCAGTTACACCTATTGTTCTCTGTCTCTTCAGTGTTTATCCTTTGCCTCAATATTAAACACTACTGAGTAATGTTTGTTGTGTTCATTTCCTCATATTTTTATCCTCATAAAAGACTGCAATTATCTTTATACATGCATCATGAGAAATACATTTCATTGAGCAACTTGTATGTGCAAGCTTCCTTCTATACCACTATTTCCTGTACAGACTTCTCAGATTGTTTATAGAAATACTATTACCACCTTCCTTCTAGTATAATACATCTTGATCTGTAATCTCAACACAAAAGCTGTGATGTAAATTAGTCACTGATGAGTCATGAATACATTTCCTACAAATTACACTATAGAAAGAATGAAGAGGGAGAAAGAGGCTACGTTTATTTTTTTAATTTATTTTATTTTTTATAGAGAGTGCAAGTCGGGGAGTGGGACAGATGGAGAGAGGTAGAAAAAGAATCCCAAGCAGAATCCATGCTCAGCACAGAGCCTGATGCAGATCCCAAGACCCTGGGATCATGACCTGAGCCAAAATCAAGAGTTGGACACTCAACTGACTGAGCCACCCAGGTGCCCTAAGAGACTACATTTAAAAAGGAGAGTATAGTGCTAAGTGAAATAAATCAGAGAAAGACAAATACCATATGATTTCAGTCATATGTGGAGTTTAAGAAGCAAAACAAAGGAAAAAAGAGACAAAAAAACAGACTCTTAACTATAGAGAAGAAACTTATGGTTACCAGAGGGGAGGTGGGCAGGGGAATGGGTGAAAT